GTTAATAACCAAAATTTTAATCTTGTTTCTCATCCAAATGGACAAACAAATTTTACCGGTTCGGCTTCTATTCAAAACAATCAAAATGTCGAGTTTACTAACTTTACCCATGGAAACTTAGTTTACAACAATTTCAATCAACAAGGCACTTTTAACAGCAATTCTGATGGTCAAAACGACATGATTCAAATGGGTGCCAATAATAACAATAACAACAACGCGAGCACTGCTTATCAAGACTCTCAAATTACTAATACTTATCAAAATGACCAAATAGTAATTAGCCGCCAGCAGCTTCTAGATATTGTTAATCGACTGTTAGAACTATTATAATAACATAATTATTAAATTTTTATTTTATTTTATATATTTGTATACATTTTTATTTTGTTTTATTTCACTTGAAGGTTAAAATATTAAAAATAAGATTATAAATTTATATTTCAATATCTTTTCTTCATTTTTCAATAAATTCATATATGTAAAAAAAAAAATTTTCCCAGGAAAAATACATATCAGATGTCAGGAAATTTTTTTGCAAATTTTTTTAAAATAATTTTTATTGTTGCTGAATATGCGATATTTGCAAATAAAATGAAATGTAGTAATATCAAAAGTTTGACTCGGGTCATTATAACATGGCACCACTTCTTTAAATGGGTTTAATGATTTTATTTTTTTGTTTGTGATATACACAGTGGATTTCGATTTAATGGATGTCTAATAAAAATCTTGATTTAATGGATTGAGGTTGCTGCATTTTTATATAGTAAATTTTCTCGATATCGATACTAATTAAATCTCAAATTAACAGATTTTTGAAAATTTCTAATTTCCATATTATCTTTGTTTATTTGTTAAACAAGCAATTGAACGTAATTGCAAGAGCAATATTGATTTATCCTGAGATAGTAGAATTCTGGAAACAAATTGGCTATCATGATATATGTAAAGATATCAATAATTTGGTGTTACAGGGTTCTTTGTTAATTTTATTCTACCCAAATCATATGCAAATTTTGATTTTCCATTTTTTTTTTATAAACTTTACAAAAAATCAATGTTTTCTGGTTGATTTCTTCAGCCTCTAACCATTTATATTTATTGATGAATCAATCTTGGTTAACAATTTTTCTATAACGTATTCTTTTTCTGCATAAAATCTGTGAATTATTATTTAATTTCGTTACAATAGACAGTAATTTTTAATGTTAGTATATGTTATGGGTCAAATTATGTTCTTTTTTCTAATATTATTGCGAACCTTAGGGACAAGTTATATATTAAATGAAGTTTGTGGGGTCCTTGTAAAGCACATTTTTTATTTTATTTGTTTTCGATCGACAAATGGGAAGCACGCAATGATCAACAATTAATATATTTTTATTGTAACCTAATAACAAGTTCATGTGCGGAATGGAATGTCTATAGTAACCAAACTTTTTAGAACGACGTTCCACGCACCACTCACTGATAAGAATAAAAATGAAAAACTTTATTATCAAGAAGATTCTTTATTAAATCTAAACACAATAATAATAATAAATTCCTTGTTTATATTTACGATGGTGATGAAATTAACAGCGGATGGTGTGAATTTGAAATTATAAAATTTTGGGAGATACAAAATTCTGATTGGGCTAATTATGACAACAATATAGCGATACAGTTGAACCTTGTTATAGCAAAGTGTAACATGTTATAACTAATGATGTCAATTTAAATGATAAAAAAGTTTTGGCCTTTAGCAATTTAGTTTCAGTTGGTTGCAATTGTAAAATGTTACAATGAAATTTGATTAATGGTTTGCTAAAGCTCGTGCCTAAAGTCAGAAATGTTATAATTAATAATTTTCTGAGCCCGTGCCTAAAGTCAAAATTATAGTCTTGTGATATTTATAAAATAGATTTCTTTTCATTATAAACCTTTGTTTCACAATTTTATTATTAAAATGATCGAAAGCCCAATATGTTCAATTGCAAGCTAATACATCAATAAAAAATAATATAGATAATCGAAGCCAGTTGGGAAATATGGGTTACAATACTTGATATTTAATAAATAGATAGAATGTTTGAAATGGACGGTGAAATCGATGTGTAATTAAAATAAAAGAAATTTAATAACATATATAATCGAGCTATATAAATAAATTCTTTTTCAATATAAAAATTTTGATTATTTTCATATAATATAAATTAAAGTGTATTGATTGTATAATCAATAGTGTAAATTTTGATAATATATATATATATATAACATGTTAAAACTATTTATGTCGCTTCAACATCTGAAATAATTTATCCATTTATTATTAATCAGACAAATCTTTAACTGAAATTTGTTTTTGGTTTTAATATTTCATCTGGCAAAAACTTATCAATTGACATCATTAGTTATAACTAACTTTCAAAAATTTTCTCCATATTTATTAACATTAAGTTAAGTTTTTTATTTAACATTAAGTTAAGTTTGGATGGAAGGTCTGTGTGCATTTCATTATGAAAAACCTTGTCAATCTTGA